TCCGTGTATAAGCATAGGCGTTTCCCCCTTACCGCCTGCCCCGCAAGGACACTGAGCAACCTCCTTAAGCAGCTAGTCAGTTTAGAATGCACGAAAACAGTGTCAAAGAGTATTATTATATCTATGGAAAAATTTGGTATACTAGAAAGGATTATTATTTGATTTTTATAAGATAACGTTTTCCAAATTTAGAGGGTTAAAGAAATAAAAAATTATTGGATCAATTTTCTGTCTTTATTTCTCTGAATCCCTGCTCGCCAATTATAGGCGGTGAAAGATTTACAATTGCAGTAATAACGGTAACAATTTCTCCGAAATGAGGCACGAGACGCCAAGACACTGGGCCTGACATTATCTGAAATAACTTTATGCGTTGTATGGCACGTTCAACGTGGATACGGGCAGCAGCAATTTTTTTAGTATGACACACATCGGAAGTTGTGAACTGTTTTTGTTTAGCAAGAAATGGCGGCCTTATTAAATCGATTCCTCTCTGGGCACATTCAGCTTCAATTAAAAAACCCTTATCCACCATAATGGCATCTACGTACGGAGTAAGATTTTCCAAAATGTCTGTGCTGTTGAATATAGCTTTGTCCGAAGCTCTCCCCCCAAAAACATCACTCAGGTGTGACACCAACCCTGAGGGTGTAACCCCAATTTGAATCTTTACAGTTTCACGACCTTTGTAATGAGAGTAACATCGAATGCGACAACGCAAACATTTTGGTTTCTCGATTGGCACCTCGGTACAATCCAATACAATTCTAGTTTTCGCAAAGCTGGAAAAACATGCCGGCAAAGTGGACAAAATTTCATCCTTTGTAGGCCAATAAATGCCACTCTTGAGAACATGATACAATGAATCGAGTGTTTCAAAAAAATAACGTGAACAAACACGCCTAACTATTGCAAACAACACAGCAAGGCAAATAAAACTCATATTGAGTCGCAATTTCGTTAACGTAATAGCAACTCTTTCTTTAACTAATACTTCGAAATCCCCTTTTTTTCATACCGTTCTACTGCACAAGACAAAGCATGAAAAACTTTGAAGCGAACCCCGCAGAATGAATTGAGTTGCTCGTCGTTTCGAATCAAATCAAGTAAAGTCAGTTTACGCTGCCCGAATTTAATGCTATCTATGACTGCTATACCGGTGTTTACAAAAAATTCGTAGTTATCAGTTGCTGTGCCAACATCTTTCAATTCTTGAATGCTTTCGACAATCACAGTATGACCATCAATATCTTCGCAGTCCAGTGTATCACCCGAGCATACGTCGCTGCATTTTCCAGGAACTACATAGGTGTCCCATTGCTGTTTGCTTTCCTGGATTGCTTTATCAACATTTTCATCTCGTCCGATTTGCTCAGCTTCCCTTGATGAATTTTCACTTCCCTCAATGCAAGCATAATTTGACGTTAGTGGCACATCAAACTGAAAATATGAAATATGATTTTTTATGAAAGCTTGTAAAGATATTTCAAAAATTGTTATGACAGAATTCAACATGAACAAAATGAACAAGTTCCGTACAAATGAAGAATCATATGTTTTAACAGCAGCATCAATTGAAGGTTCCGATGTACTCGCTTTTACAAGTTGATCAGCCCTTGTGTCGATATCCATTTTACAATCCCCGCTCCTCATGTCTTCCAGTGATCGTGCCCTTTGTGCTCGCCTTTCGTTGCGCCGCTGAGCCTGAAAGTCCCCTAAACTTGGAACTCGCAGCAAACTTTTCATGTTCCTCGAAGGAACTGCATTAAAATGCAATATATTCCTTCTTCCATTTCCTGAAAAAAAACGTGATGTTTATTTCAGAATAACGTAAAATTCAATTCGAGATGCATAATAACACATAAATTTAAGCAATACTCACGACGTGGAAAGAAATCAGATTTCGCAAAATGATCGCTACATATCCAACTTTGTCCTGGCACTTTTTTCATATTCATTGCTTTCAGCCATTGCGATAATATATTTGTATTTATGGGAAATTGGTGGAGACTTATTTCTTTGGACATTGTATTACGACAATGCTCCAAAACGCAAGTTCTCTTGCCCATAATTGTTCCCACGCTTTTCTGACTTGTTGCAAACGTTCTGGAAAATACAAACATTATCGTAATAAAAGGCATGAATTGTTTTATTTGCAATGTTTTAAGTTTTTTAGTCTAAAATGCCTTTCATGAGAAATGTAAATACATGACAGCAGAGGTTAGGTTGACCTTAGCTGTTAGTAAAAATTAGATGACACAATCCTACAGTTTTCAAAAGTACAAAAGGAATTTATATATTACATAGCATTACTTACCTAATATAATTTTCAAGGAAATATTATTGAACAATGTCTATTTTTTTTTCTTCGCGATAAATATTGTACGGAACTTTGAAAAAGGCACGTATGTAGGGTTCGCTAAATGGCCACCAGATGGAGATGGACCTTAAAGCGCATAGCGAATACTCGACCCACCTGTCCCACAGGTAGTCGCTCACGACGCGGGCGAGATATGACGGAACCTCGTGGCGTCGGAGCGACTCCCTGATTCGTCCCCAGGGGAGGGTGTTGAAGGCATTGGAAATATCCAATGACACTGCTAACATCACCCCCCCCCCCCCGGGAGGTCGCCTCTTCAGAGAGGGCCTGGACACGCTTAATAGCGTCGATGGTTGACAGGCCCT